AGTTTTCCATCTAAAGGCGGGTTAGAGAATTATAGAGAAAAAGATAAAATCCGAAAAAAAAAAAATAGTTGCAAGCACGGTAAAGATATGCAACTTTAGCAGATAATTATCTTGCAATAAATTTGATATATGGTTCCCAAGTAACATGTTTCCATGAATTTATTTCAAGATAAAATGCCACTTTCAAGCAATCACAAATTATTGGCTTTTTATCAAGAAAAGAATAGTTAATAGTATCATCAATGATCAATGCTACCTTGGATCTGAAATTTTCTAGAAGACATTTAATATAAATTAAAAAAGATTGGGGCCAAGGATAGAACCTTGAGTACAACTTTTAGACTATGATTTGTAAGGAAAGATAAAATAATCTTATTTATGTTACTGCTAGAAAAGAGATTATGGAGAAGACCAGCATGCCTAACTTTATTAAAGGCTTTAGAAATGTCACTAGCAATAGCCTTAACCTCTCCACATTTATTTAATACACAATAAATTCTATAATTTATTACCTTCAATAAATAAACAGTAGAACAAGAAGATCGCATTACATATTGATGATAAGAAAGTATTTGTAGATTCAAGATAAATAAATAAGTATTTGTTAATTACTTCATCTGTTATCTTGAATCTACAAAGTTTCAAAAACTTTGGATTGCTCTCCAGAATTTAAAAAATTAGGCATAACAGATGCTGTCTTCTAGCAGGCTGAAAAATAAGAAACTGATAAGCATTTAGTAAATACTTTTGAAGTAAAGCAAAAAGTTTTAAAGTATAGACGACAGTTCCGTAGAACACATCTGCAAGACCATAATAGGTAAGTTGTCCGCACCGCATGTCTATCCAACTTCAAAGATTTTCAATAGGATTCAAATGAGGTGAGCAAGTGAGCAAAGGTTTCCTATTCAATCGTTTTTCCTCCGAGTATTACTTGATTAAGCGTGTTGTGTAATAAAAAGCGTTATCTTATTTTAAATTGCCAAGTGGAGTCGGATTTAAAAACATTCAAGGTTGTAATTAATTTTCAATCAAAGGTTGTAATTAATTTTCTAACGGATTTAGCATTACAGCCTCAAATTTCAACAGCATTTTTTTTTTTGTATCTCCTTACTTAAATCTTTTTCTTGCAATTGGTAAGTTTAAAGTTCAACTCGTTCATGAAAATTACTTTTCTCTATTACTCTACAGTTTATGCAGTTTTTTCTTTGCAACATTTTTTTGACGGTTTTTGATGCTTAATAGTGGTTTTTTTGTTACAAAGTATGATTTTAGTTTTTTTTCTTCATTAGTTTGCTAATTGTTGTTTGGCTGACTTGGTGTGCATCTGTTGTTTTATGAAGGTTGAAGAAAATTTCAGCTCTGCCCATTACTGGGTTGCTTTCAGCGAAAACAATGGCTTTACTTGGACGCTTTCTAACATTTTTTTAGTACGACCATGGCAACATTTGTCTTTTTTTGTGCCAAAATCACAATAATTTTGCATGCCAGCAACTTGCTGCATTTTTCCAATTCACATGCTCTTTAAACCAATATTTTGTTGTTGCAAACTTGAATTTTTAACAAAGTGAGTTTTGAAATGACATTTCCGTTGCTTCAGTTTATACTGAGATACAGTAAATACTACTTACATTTTTCCTTGATTATTAATAATCAGAAAAGATTGATTAACAAAAATGAAAAAGAATAAAAAAAATCATTTCCAAAAAGAATTAACTTTTTGTGCTAATACTTAAATTAAAAAATTTAAATAAATTTTTAATGCTTTTTGCACACTAATTTTCACTCATATTTCAGAGTAGTTTTTAAAGTTCTAATTACTTTATGGAAAAAAAAAACAGGTTGACAAATTTTTGATATTATAATAATTTTTTTTGGTCCCACCTTTTACTTAAAAAAAAGTTACTTTGAAATTTAGATCAGTTTTATAAAATTAGCCCTACATAATTAAACTTGTTTTTTCTTTTCTTTTTTTTGTAGAAACATCAAAATGGCACAAAATAATACATTTCCATACACAAAAGAAAGTATTTTTCAAAGCGAAGAGTTTAAGTTAAAATTAAGCAGTAGTATTGGAGTGGATTGGAGAAATCTTGGAAATATCTTAAATATTGAGGACAACTATTTAGATGCGATTGATCAAAACAATAATAAAACTGATGAAAAAGCGTATTCAATGTTGACTAAATGGATTCAAATGAATGATAATCCAACACTTACAGATTTAAAGAAAGGTTTGTGGAGCATAGAGAGAGTTGATCTATTAGGAGTTGTTGATGAATTCACTAACGCATTCAGTAATATATATATATTTTGATTAGTCATTTATATTATATTATTTTGAAAAATTTTTTTAGATTCATAAAGCAATAGGCTTTAAAATAATATTTAAAACTAATTTTTATAGACATTTTACTATTTTACATTGGCAGTGTTTCAAAATCATTTGAAAACTTCTTTATAAATATTTTAAATGGTTCTTCAAAATCAAAATAATTTATTAAATTTAATAAATTTATTAAATTTATTAAAATAATTTATTAAATAATTTATAAATTAAAATGTAAGCTTTTAAATCTAAATATTAAAGCGGCTAAAAGGATTTTAGTTTATAATTTTAGAAAAACAAAGAGAAATAGGTGATATAATAAAATACTGTAAAATAAAAAAAGATATTCATAAGGTGCAATGAGGTTACAATGCTTGCTTTATAAGCAGGAGATCCAGGTTTAAAACGGTCCGTGGACATATTTTCGCGTCATGGTAAGGAAGGAGGCGTGAACTTGTTGGTTAAATGCACTTCCACGGTGCTCTGTGACAAGACTGCTAGGTCTTCTTGGGGCACCTAAATAAGAATTATAAAAAAAAAAAAAACGAAATTGGAGATTTAATTACCAATAAACAATTTATATCCAAAATTAAGAGGTCATAATCAATGGTCCCTCAAACAAAATATTCTTATATTTGAAGCAAAACGGCATTTCTTTACAAATAGGATAGTAAATAAATGGAATATCCTAACCAATAAAAATGGTAATGCTGATAATATCAATGTTTTTAAAAATAAAATAAGCAAATATGAAAAAGCATTTTAAACTCAAATGGCTCGATTGAGTTATGTTCCTAAACTTGAATATGAGTAAAATTTTTAAAAATTAAAATTAAGCATTTATTTTTGTTAAAATTATTATATTACAAATTTTATTTGTATTTTACTCAGCTGTTATAGTGATGGAATTACTGTTCCGCGACTCACATTTTTGTTAGATGTTCAGTAACAGCATTAATTATAGTTTGGTTTTTATAATAAGCAATTAATAAACTTATTAAAATTGTTTTATTAATCCTAAAATTTCCCTTTCTTCAAAAAGCAAAACTGAAAGAAAAGTTTAACTATAATTTTCTAACCAATAACTACTAACCCAATTCCACATAATTTACTTACCTAATTCCACATATTTTTATGTTAAAACTGAAAAAATCTTGTGAAATGTTAGTTAAGCAATATTTCTATAAATGTTAGTTAAATAATATATTAAACTCAGTAAGTTATTATATTAAATGTTAACTTAATTTTAAAAAAATATATAAACTTATGAAATCAACACAATAAACTGTATTAGACAATACACGCAAACATTCTCATCGCGAGTTCAAAAATGTTTAATTCAAATTATTTATTAAATAAAATAAATGTAAAAATAGAAATAAAACAAAAATACATAAATATAAAATAAAAATACAAAAACATAAAACAAAACTAATTTTTTTTTTTTTACAAACTTCACCAAAACAAGATTTTTAATACCATTTTAAAATTCATCTTTTGAACGTCTTTATACTATTTATTTACATATAGTTTAATTGTCTAGAGAGTTCAAAGCAAGGCTGCTCTGTATAAGTTATTTTTTTTTCTTATGTTTAGAGGCTATGAGTGGGGGTACTAAATTTTACTAGAGAGAAGTCTAAACTATAGGGATTCTTTGATAAAAAGATCTGGAAAAAACTTTGTGTTTAAACAATTTATAGATTTGAAAATTTTATTTATTGAAAACTTTAAGTTTCTAAGGTGGATGCTTGGTTTATTTTCTAATTTTAGAATTTCATTTAATAAGATAGCAAGTCATTTTTGAACAATGCAAAGTCCTTTTTGATAAATTTTATTAAATAGATTCAAAACATTATTATACTTTAAGCAAAACATACGAACCAAGGGACTGCATGAAAAATTGAAAAATATAAAAGCATTGAATAAAAGAGAAGCTTGTTTAAATGATAAAAAGTTACTTATTTGTGTAAGAGCAAAGCATTTTTTATTTGGTTTACCAAACAAACACTTAATATGTTCATTAAACTTTAAATCCTTATTAATTGCAACCCCCAAGATGTTTAAACTTAGAGGAAACACATATTTTTGTAACCCCGAAATGTTTAACGTTAGAGGAAACACATATTGTTGTATATTTACTCATACAAAATTGACCTTCATAAAATTTTAAGCCAACTAAAAAAAAATTGAGGCTGAGGCAAACATAAAGAGTGCTGTCGTTAGAAAAGTTGCAGATTTCAAAGTCTTTAATAATTTCGAAAAATTACTTATAAAAATATCAATGAAAATTGGTCATGTTATTGAACCTTGAGGCACGCGAGACTCTCAGTCTACCCTTACCTCAGAGGTCTATTTCACTCTCAATTTGCGTTCATAAAAGTACGAAAACAAAGAATTGAGATTTTTATAGAACCCATTACCTTCTAACATTGAAATAAACAAACATTTGAAATTAAATCATATGCTTTTAAAAAATCAAAAAATATTGAACTAGCAACACTTTTATCCACACCTTTATCCAAACAAATTTGACACTTTTCAAGTATATTAAAAAGCGCATGCTGCGCACCGTACCCTCTCCAAAATCAACACAACAATTTGTTAAGGCTTTGCTCAATACACACCTGCATTTACTCATAAGTAACCATATTAAAGATTTTTAAGAGAGCTGACAAAGTATTTATTGAGCGATGGTTTGACTTATTCGTTGGATCATAATTTTTTAAAACATGGAGTGACGACAGCCATTTTTATAAAGTAAGGTAACTAACTTTGAGATAAAATATTGTTTATACTGGAAAAAGGCCTTCTTACAAGTCATTGACATAAGTTTTTAGAACAAAGCTTGGAATATCTCCCTATATCTTTTTCTCAATATTTAAAGAACCAATAATTTTATTAATATCATAGCAAGTAATTTTTTAATGAAGTTTGAGATTTGATGAAAATTAAAATTTGATGAAATTTAAAGTTTTGAGAATACTAATTAGAATTTCTTTTAATATTTGTAATACTAGGATGGTTTGCATATCTTATAATATCAGATTTAACGGGAACCTGTACATTGCAAGGAGAAGTCTAAAAAATCATATATTACTATTATAAGAAATAATGCAACGTTTGTGAAATGCAAGTTAAAATTATTTAACAGTTGAAACTTATCTAGTATAGTTTATATTTGTTCAATTAAGGTTTTACGCTCGTTTGAATTTCCAGATTTATTTGAATGAAAAGACTTAAACTTTCCGCAGTGTTGAAGGAAAACTTAAATAAATTTTCATAATCAAGTAAAACTTTTTTTATTTTAGCTTACTACATAGTTCCTTTGTTTCCTGTAGTGAGACAAAGAAAGATTTTTTATTAATTTTTTTTTTTAATTTATTCGAAGTATAATTGCTTTTCTATAATCTTTAGTCTTAAATGACTTACCGTTGCTTCTTAAAGTTTTATTTTTGATTAGGGAATATAGATTTAGAGGGTCACAAAATATATCGTTAAAATTCCAAAAGTCATTTAAAAACCTCAACTTGTTTTTAATAATTCAGAAAATCACTTAAAAATTTTGATGTTCGAAAGACCTGCAAATTAATTTTTTTCGGAGACAACTTGCAGAAAAAATTGGGCATTGTAAAAATAGTTCATGATGGTCAGTAATACACGTGTAGATAGTTTTCAAATGTTGGAAACACATCTTATAAGACACATCTTATAAAGCACATTAAGAGACAAATCTTGTAAAACATAATTGGGTAAATAAATTACAAGCTTTTTATGAAAAAATGAAAATTTCCTATGTTTAAATAAAGTTTTTAAACAAATTTAATTTTATAATATAAAGAATTAAAATAAGTTAATTTAAAGTTAACCATATAAAATATTAAACATTTATATTTTTTATCTTTATGTTACCAAACCTCTGGTTTTTATTCACCAGACCTGTAGTAGACCTCACTGTTAACTTAAGCATTAATTCTTTGTGTTTTAGTTGGTTGGAATTAGTTGGCATTGACCACCCGGAGGTAGTCGGAATTTAACATCCACCTTTAATTCTTTATTTTGTGCGCTATTATTTGTGTTTATAAATTAGGAAATATTTAGTGTGTTACCGACAACATAAAAATCACACAAGTAAGGAAAGCAAATGCAGAAAGTTATTTATGTTGGAGAAGCTATATAAATAAAATTGCCTTCCCCTGTAAGTATGGAAAAAAATTGTCCAAGCATTAATGATGATGATAATAATGATGATGCAAGGGTATTTGCATAAGAAACTTTGTCAAAGTATGTTTTTAACTTAGTTTTATTTAAAAAAAAATCAAAAGAATTAGGTTATAACAATATGTGCATATATTAGTGTTCGAAATCACCAACAACGTAAAGTTTGCTAATTTACGCAATATTGATGTTAAATCCCCCAATCATAGTTCCGCCTATCAAGTGTAAAAAACGAAAAATATTCTAGTCGAATTATTTAATACAAATAAAAAATCAACACCAAATATAAAAAAATATTTTAATACAATAAATAATAAATATTATATAACATAATTATAGAAATATTGTATTTTTGTTGTAAATTAGTATACGTTTTTAAGAGAAAAATTAAAATCAGATTTTTTAAATTTATAAAAATTTTTAAAATTTATCATATACGACTATATTATAACAAATTAAATAAATTATCATTTGCATTGCTTTTAAAAACAAATGTGCTTTTATTGTTATAATTTTTTTTGTAAAATGATAAATATATAACAATGACTGTTATTTTTAGGTACATTAGAAAAAGCTTATTTAAAAACTACACAAAGAGAACCCTACAAGTATAGTTACAAAGAAAATGATATTGACAATAATAACTTTTTTCAATATGAAAAAAATACTGAAAAAGAGGTTTTGCTTGAAAACTCTAGCGGCACAAAGCAAATTATAAAAACTTTACACGTAAATGAGTTTCGTGAAAGGTTTAGTATTTACAAACCTGGCTCGAAAAAACCTACAGTAGTTGATGATTTAGTGAATGATGATATTAAAACTGCTAAAAGCATGTTGGCAGATAAGACAGGGGGTTCTAAAAAAAATTCCTTCTATATCCGCCCTTTTCGAAAGAAAGTTGAAGACCAAGAAATGTTAAAGGAGCAGCCTCGAAAAAAAAAAAACGAAGATCAAGAAGAAATTTTGCAAGATATTATTTTTAAAAAGTCTGTATTTATCGGCAAGAATAAGAAAGATAAAAGAAGCAAAACTTTTGATGTTTACGAAAATTTAGAATCTAAATCAGTTAATCAAAAGTTTTTTGACAGAAGTTTTTCAAACTTGGAGAGCTCAGAAGAAAAGTTATTACACTCTAATGAACGTTTTTCAGGTATACTATGAATGCAAATATTATTAACTTAAAAATCATTACATTAAATAAGGATTATTATAATAAAGGTAAAAAAAAAAAAAAAAAAAAAAAAAAAAAAAAAAAAAATTGTGGTTAGCAACCAAAAAAAAAGAAGACTTTTTTCATAACGCTTTCTTTAATAGAAATTTCTTTTATCAGTCTGTAAATACAACTTGCCAAGTGATATGTGGTTCTTGCTAAACTACAGCGATACTTTTGTTATGATGAAATTGCTTGAATATAGCTTCTTTGTTCTTAGTTTTATAGTACTATAGTAGTTCGCTTTTCACTTTTTATATTAGTTGTAAGTTTAGAACAAAGGTCGGCAACCATCAGCCGATTAGCCAGATGCGGCTTTTTTATCTAAATTAACTTGTTATATTTAAATTTTATTAAAACAAATAAAAAATTTAATTTATTGAAGTGAATCTTTTTTTCAAAAAAGTTTTTTTAATGCAATAAGTTACAGAATAACAACAACAAAAAAGACTTATATAAAAATAAAAAATGTAGATGCAATACTTGCTTGGTTTTTATTGCAACACAAGCTTAGTTTTACAAAAAAGCGTTAATACAAAATGCAAACACAGTGTCCAAAAATTTGATTTGCTGAGTGTGATTCGCGTGATCAATAAAGCTCTGTATTAAGTGTTTATTCAAGGTAAAAGGTGCAAATGGGTGTTTAGAGACTCGGTACAGTTAATCATAAGGTAATCATATAATTGCCATAACTCTGTAAGATAAAGACTACTTTTCATGGTATTGAACTCTTCATTTATTAATGTAATTACTGAAGTTCAACACAAATTGAGCTGTTACGTCTGTCGCTCAAGCAAGATTTACATCATAATGATGATAAATAGATCATGGAACTGTTGATGACTGATTGTCAACTAGAGATAAAAATTTGAGGAAGATGCTTTGACCTTATTTAATGAGATTAATTTATAAAAACACTTAAACAAAAAAAATATTGTTTTACCGTACGTGCCCACAGAATCAGATGAGAAAATCGGTTATCTGATAAATGAATTTGACACTTTAACTTAAAGTAAATTTTTTGGTTCATATAATATACAATTAATAGTTCATATAACGCATATTAAAGAAAGTTATTTATCAGAAGTTATTTTACGGGCTCAGGCAACTTCAAATCAAAGTAAAAATTAATAAAGTTTTTGTTGATATCCTATATAAGAGAAATGAAATTCTCGCTGAAATATAAGGTTTTAAAGTAATGAGGAGAAAGTGAATGGATAATTCTTTGCAAATCAAACAGAATGGGGATACAGTAGAATACTGCATTCAAAGTTTATATTTAAGAGGGCTCAAAAATACTAAATTCCGATTACAAAAGAGGTTATAAGAACATTTTGGAGTCTAGAGGGAGTTGCAGATTTTTAATTGCGAAGTCTCTTTTGACAAGGATTTTATACTTTTTGTTGTTATTGATGATATTGGTATGGTCATTAGCTAAATAAGTAAGAGTCTTGGAAGTGTTTGAAAAACTAAGCATATTTTTTTAAGCCAGAGAAACCCAAAACAGGCAAAGACGGAGATCTTAGTTCAGGCTATGGCAACGAGAAGTTTAACCTTAACATAGACGGAGAGCTACCTAAATAAGTTGTGCTTAAACATCTCCTATAGGGTTAAACATGACTTATTATATATAAGCTATATTATGGATCTATAGTGAGTCTGCTACTTGTTGGTGCGCTGATTATCAGATGTAATGTAAAAAGCTGATCATTAGAACAAATAAATATTGCTAAAATATATTGAAAACAAGTTATTACCTGGCAGACAGGTGGTTATATCTCATACCTGGCAGACAGGTGGTTATATCTCATACCTGACAGACAGGTGGTTATATCTCATACCAGTGATTATGATTAGTTTAATTGAAAGGGGATCATTTTTATCCAAGAGTAAATTTTCCTAAAAAATGGATAGATAGCTAAAAACTCTCAAAGAAAACAATTATTATGTTTTATAAGCTGATTATAAAACTCAGATTGATTTCGAAACTTTTATAAAATTTTCCATCGGGGTGATGTTATTAAACAAAAACTCGTCAAAATGCATTGGATCTCATAAAACCTTTTATCTAGTTAAATGGATGAATGCATAACGACAGTATTAAAACAGTTCATCTTCATCAGGGGAGCGGTTATTGTTGAGTTGTATTGAATTGGACTATAAGATTTGTTTTGGTATACAACAAAAATATATTATATAAACATATTTACAAAATATAAACCCATTTAACATTAACATATCTAAACACATAATAAATAACACAAAAAAAACTAAATATATATAAAGGAAGAAAAATATATAAATTAGAAACATCTACAATTACAACCATATTTTTGTAATACCGTAAACCGGTAACTTTGCACCAATTTTGATAAAAAAGATAACTTTTTGGAAAAAAGGAACATTTCCTTAAAACTATTTTGATGCTTAAAGTTGTGCATTACTAATGTCATTTCATTAGTAAAATGATGTATTCATTGTATTTACCAAATCCCAGATTTTATGGAAATAATGAGGTGTTCAATGTTACCCAGCAATGGGGTAACTTTGTCATAGTAAATTGTTTTTTTAGCACCGGAGGTAAGTTAAGTGTTATTAACCACATTTAATGTAATTTAAACTTACAGTTAAGCATTTATTTCAGAAAGGGATACCTAAAATATGTCAAGAAATTATTAAGGAACAATAAAAATAAATATAAACATTTTTAAAGTAACATTTTAGATAAAATAATTTGACTTTTTATTATAATTTTTTAACCCAATGATTAAAAAAACCTACTAATTTTTTTGTTAAATGACAGAAAAAGCAAAAACTAAGAGACCACTAAAGAATAAATAAACAATTTCTAACATACACTGTTTTATAAAAAAAAAATTTAAGGCGTTTTCACTTAATAATTTGATATACACATCATTAGGATTCAATGGTACCAAACCGCATATTTTAAATCCATTTATTAAAATTTTTCTCGAAAATTCATTAATGGATTTCATTAAATCATTCAGCAACTTAAAGGAATCTTCTTTTGGTATTGTTGCAAAATTTTAACCACGAGAAGCAAGTTCAATTTCCAGAAGTATTTTTTAACCATGCTTTTTTTAATGGTGCAAAGAATGCAACATCAAGAGGTTGAAGTATGGCAGAGGGTTGAGTTTTGCAGAAGGCATATGAATCTAATGTTATGTTTTTCACAATAACGAATAACTTTATGAATTAAATGGGAAGAGAAATTGTCACCTATTAACACTTTTTTCCTATTTGTTTTTTAACGCATGGCAATAATGTCCGAAAAAACTAATCCTAATAAGTAACTTCATCAAACCAGCCAGATTAGGTTCTATTAAAGCAAGAATTCTTTGGTTTTATTCATAAATTGTATAAATGTGTGTTTTTAAAAACTGTGTATTGTGGAAGAATTTTTTCAACACCATTTTGACATTACAGAGAAACAAGCTTTACTGCTATTCATTATTCTTTCACAGTACTTTCCACGTTTCATGACAACTTTTTTATTTGCAGGGTCATCACGCAAATTTGTTTCATCATAATTTCAAATCTTACAAGGTGGACTACCTTCAAGTTCAAGTCTAATATTGTCAAAATAAATTTTTAATAGTTCTTTGTTTATGGCTACACGTTTTCTTTTGATATTTGATACAATTCTATGGGTCAAATTTGAACGTTTCATAAAACTTGAGACCCAATCATCACAAGGAATATTGTTTTTAAATATTTTTACAGTACGATTTTGTAAATTTTAAATAGCCAGATACTAACATTTTAATATCAAATTTATTTCATGGAAATCCCCAATTACACATAACCTTGACTCTAGATGAAAATAACTTCTCCTCATCATAAGTAAATATGGTAGGTGCACCAATGCATATTTTATGCTTTGACTTTATTTCATTATGTATAGTGCTTCTTGGTATACTAAACCTTTTTGAGGCTTGACGAATAGGCATACCTTGTTTAGTTGCACCCATACACTCTTTCAAAATAATGGTATGCACGTTTTCTAACAATATGCTTGTTACATTTACGAGACATTATGCTTTAAACAAAAGAGTATAAACCTACGGGGTACCTTTGACAAACTTGTAAAAAAACCAGAGTGTTGTTACTAAATCCCAAAACTTTTTGCTTAATTTTATCTGAAAGTTTGCCTATAAAACAGAAAAAAAACTGAGTTGTTTGCTTTTATTATATATATATATATATATATATATATTTATTATTTATATATATATGTTTATTATTTATATATATATATATATATATATATATATATATATATATATATATATATATATATATATATATGTATATATATATATATATATATATATATATATATATATATATATATATATATATATATATATATATATTTCATATCTTACATATATACACACACACATACAACTAAGTAAAAATATTTTAAACAAGAAACAAGGGGTTGCATCCTACATTATCAAAATCACTGAAATTTAGCGCAAATGTGTAAAGATGTAAGTTGGGAAAGAGAATTTTTTATAACTTATAGAATTACAGGAACTTAAAGTTTGTTAGATTTTCACTGAAAAATGAGGCAGAAAACTGCCGTAAATGTGTCTGTTTACTATTACCCTAATAAGGTGCTTTTAGTAATTTTGCAAAGCTAAAATTTGATACTACAGGAGTTTGAATCCTGTTTAATTTAAAAATTACAGATATGTATCTCTTAAAACAATAAAATATAGTTTATTTTAAGATCTACAAAACGCTCTTACTAATGACAATAAAAAAGAGCTTCGACAACTATATCTCTAGAAAAAATCTGAAAAAAAGAAAAAACTTTTGGTTTTAATTTTACTAAATCAAAGACATTTATCTATTTTACGAATCCATTTTATTTTTGTCTTATGTATATTTAACTCAGGGCCGTTTCAAAG